CCACTGCACCTGAAACTGAACCATAAGATTAATGTGCATTTAATTTCTTATGGAAAAAGCGATTAGTGCAGAAAAAAAACAACATAAAAGGTATACTCACAAATTTATCAGATTTACAGAAGTCAAATCAAACTTCCCACTTGAAGCAGAAGTACAAGAGGAAAAAACTAATATGACAGTGCAACAAGTAAAATTCATAACGTGCGAAACAAGAAATACCTGGAACTAAAATGTCTCCAAATCCTAGGAGAGAAAAAGGCCTGTCACACAGAGCCAACGGTGAGGAGTTCAGTCGCGGAACCTTCAGGACCATTGGGAGCTTAGAATGGGAGAGACGTATGCTTTATGAAAAGCTGTTTTCTCTACGTACTGACACAATCTACCAGAACTTGTTTCTGTTGTACTGAAACAGCAGACTTCAAATAGAGCAAATGTGGGTTTTTAAACGTTATAGATCCTTATGTTTAAAATCTTTTATTAATATTACAGACAACTAACGGAATGTATTTAACATAGGAGTGATGAAATACTTTTTAAAAAAACCAGCCAAGAAAACTCTGCATGACAGACATCTCAAAACACTGTATTAATTTCAAAGTCCTCACATACAATAGGGTATCAACTCTGCTACATAAAAAAATGTAGGTAAGCTGCCACATGCATAAGAAATAACTATTTATATTTCATTCTACTGGTTACAATAAAAGTCTCAAAAGAGTAAAGACTTGGACTTCCCCCCCTAAGTGTTCCTATTTATTACATAATTCGCAATGTTGAGGCACAGTATGGCAAGGTTAATTGCAAACATGTATTCTCTTTAATACAGTACATTAAAGAAACTTCATTTTCTTTTTAATTTTTTCTTCTGTTAGTGCCAGAATAATTTTATCTACTTATACTATCATTATTGTTTTATATAATTCATTCTGTGCATAAAACTGAAACTAAAGGGTACAAAAGACAAGAACATAATAAGTTAAAGAAATTAGTATGGATTGATCCACTCGTAGTTCATCCTGCAAACTATTTTCCCATGCAACAGTACTACATGCGTTGCTGAAAAGAGACCAAACATCCTTAAACTAATAAACCCAGTTTTCCTACAGATTCATTTCTTATTTGTTTTGCACACTGAATCTCACCATCTGCTACATCTCACGTACTTTCCTCCCCGAGTCAGCCACATCATCTTGTGCAGCTCTGTGCGTACAGCTGGCTGCTGTCACACAGTACAGAACCACTGAATACTGGCTGCTGTTTTCTTTCTGTTTCCAGTTCACATTTTTCTCCTTTGCCTACAGCCTCAGGTTTTCATAAAGCAATTATCAAAACAGGGGAGGAGAGGGAAGAGACAGACTGATCATATGTTTTATCTCTTTAGGTAAAAATGGATATGCTTCATTAGCAATAAGTTATATTTACAAGTGTGGTCACATGTTTTTGTGAAGCTGAGCTAACCAGCTTCCTTATACTGAAACCCTTTTAAAGCAAGATAAAGGAAGACCAAAGCTGTTGTGTTGAACCACTAAAAGTCTGCTTTGATCTCTGTGTTTGGTGTTTTCCAGAGAGCTCAGGAGTGCTTAATTCCACATTAAATTCTTTTCAGACTGCATCTCCACTTCAGCTTTGTGGTATTTGAATTTTAGAGTTAAAAGTGTAATAGCTGGAAGTTAGTGCCATATTGTCCTGGTTTCTGCAGGGATAGAGTTAATTTTCTTCCTAGCAGCTGGTATAGTGCTATATTTCAGATTTAGGAAGAGAATAATGTTGACAACACACTGATGTTTTAGTTGTTGCCAAGCAGTCAAGGCCTTCTCAGCTTTTCATACAGGCCTGCCAACGAGAAGGCGAGGTGGGGACACAGCCAGGACAGCTGACCCAAGCCAGCCACAGGGATATTCCATACCATATGACGTCATGTTCTGTATAGAACCGAGGGTTGGCCAGGAGGTGGGGCAGCTCAGGAACCAGCTGAGCATCAGCTTCAGGTGGTGAGAAATTGTGCTGTTCATCACTCGTTTTGTATATTCTATTATTATTATTAATCTTCCTTTTCTGTCCTATTAAACTGTCTTTATCTCAACTCACAGGTCATACTTTTTTTTTTCGCTTTTCAATTCTCTCCCCCATACCAGTAGGGGCAGGGGGCAGTAAGTGAACAGCTGCGTGGTTGTTTTAGCTGCTAGCTGGATTAAACCACGACACACATTTTTAGACTACATACAGTACCTTTTCATGAGTGGCAGAATCCGATGGGCCTGCAGCCACCTCCACCATTATACTCTCCCCAGTCTAAAGAAAAAAAGGGAAAATTGTCAATCAGCACTTCACTCAGCAGGTCTGGGATCATTTAGGAACACACAGAGAAACAGGTCATTACACTTTGCTCTGTGAGCAGCGGGCACTAGAGAAATACTTTTACTTACCTTTGTTAGAAAAGGTGTGATAAATACAAAGAATACATCATACACAAAAAGAACCAGGAGGAGCAAGGTACAACCCTGAAGGAAGAGACAAGATACTTGGTATTTACATACTATGCATTAATAAACAGCAAAGAATAATTAGCAACTTAAGACTATTCAAGGCAAAAGCTAACAAAGACTAAAACAAGTCATCCACATACTTTTCTTAATTCCTCAAAATTTAGATGGAGGAATTTGGTCTCACATGCACCATATAAAAGAAAGTAATTCTTAGACACAAAATTACATGTTAGTCCCTAAAATTCTTTATCACGTAAAATCTGGAAATGGTGCAGTTTCAATTTGTTAGGAAATATTAACAAGTTCTGCATTTTCTCTGGAGGATGCTAGGCACAGCTTGAAACAGTATCCACATTACTTTGGCCAATCTGTACAGGGAAACAAATTTATAGGTGAAGATAAATTGAAACGGAGTTTGAAAAGCTGCCTAGATTTGAAAAAACACCAGAATGATGCATCAATTGTGTGTCAAATTTGAACAAAAACAAAACCAAAAACCCCAACCATAATAAAAAACCCCACAAGCGAGTGTGTGATTTACTAGTAGTCAACACTCTACAGAACTTTAAGTTACCAAAGACCACGCACAACAATCACATACCACTTACTGATCTACATTATACTCAATGCATCCCTCTCTTGCAAGCTACATATGAATGGAAGTGCATTTCCAAGACAATGTACTCCATTATAAGTGGTTCCTCTGTTCAGCTATATACAGGCAAACATCCTCTTTTTACATCTGTTCAACTTTCATACCTTAAATGTAGGCAGGCGAATTGTTTTCAACATGTAAAGACAGAAAGCAATTCCCAAAGCATCTTGCAGAACCCAGGCCCACCTAAAGAAAGAGGAGAGTAACATTTTTGCAGGAAAGTAGGAAAGTCAGACCAAGCCTTGTCCTCACTAAGGACCTGCTTGGGAAAAAAAAATTATTAAAAGTACTTACTTGAAATCACCACTGGTGTCAGCACAGACTCGTGAATGTGAAGCTGTGCTTGATCAACCTGATAACCTTCTACAATGAAATGACTGGTTTGGTAGATGAGGAAAGAGTAGTGGGGATATTGTCTACCTAGACTTCAGTAAGGCTTTCCACTGAGAATCTCCCGTAAGCTCCTCAGAGAAACTGATGAAGTATAGGCTAGATGAGCAGACAGGTGGATTGAAAACAGGCTGAACAAAGGCAGTGGGTACCAAAATAAGAAGTGCTGGGGTCCTTTGGCCTGCATATATGCATACACCCTTGTGTGCTGAGGGAAGCCTACAGTTGGGGCTGTCTCTTGATTGTGTTTGCAAGTTAGGTATAGAAGTACCAAGGCTCTTTGCTTTACTCTCAATTGCTAGAATCAAAGAGAAGTAGGATTTGAGATACGAAACACTAAGGTTTCCCTAAAATCACTAAGGTCTAGATGCAGATGAGAGATTATCCTGTTGTGATCGATACCTTAGCACTTACTGATGGAGCTTGTTCAGGAGATACTCAGGTTCACTCCAGCTTTGACACAGAAAATGGATTTCTAGTGCTAAATATCCCAGGTAGGAATAGCTCTATAGTACTTCTTTACTGCTCAGTCTGACATTTATATCTCTAAAAGGTGTTTCAGAGTTTATGTTTCCTGGATTTAGGAGTTCTGTCAGTGAATGATCAACAGACTTAACACAGAAAATGGACCCCACAAATGCAATAACAGGCATTCAAGGCACAAGCAAGACATCTTTGGTACCATCAGCAGAAACACAAGCCAGCATTTCAGTTTCAACACAGAATCCCTGATAGAGGGACCAAAATGATGAAGACATCATGTATATATGGGGAAACTGGAGCATCTGGGAGTGAGGTAAGGGGTAAGAAAACCGAAACAAACAAAAAAAAACAACCCAAAAAAACCCTCTAATAAGAGTGGTAAGAACATGCTATAACTGGACACAGAGAATTACTCATACCAGAGAGTTGAGAGAAACTAAAGATCTGACAATCTTCACAGCTCTTATTCTCTCTGAGCAAATGCACATGCAGACCATCACCTGAAGAAATAAGTTAGACAACTTGCGTCCAACTTTCCATACTACTTCTGAAAAGCTTTCTTAAGCCAGAGAGATCAGAATACGGACTGGGACTGAGAGAGATTCAAGCTTAACAAGAGATGCTTTTCTGTAACTTAAACCAACAAGACAAAGATGAAGTACATAAGGAATAACTAAGAATTTCTGCCCAAGTCTCTAGTTTCTGTCCTGTCACTCCTAAATTCTGGATGTTTAGGCTTCTACAGATGTCAGTTACTTACACTATAAAGCATATTACAATTTCTAGCACAGAAACTAAAATATACACTTACTGATCTTCGTTTCTGAAGATTCCCCAGACTATGCTGACAGAGATACAAAATACTGCCAACAGCAACATCCGGACCTGTGGACGCTTGTGAAAATAAGGCAAGTTGTTGTCTGGGATTCTGAAAATGAAACACACCAAAGCTACAATTGTCTATGTAGTTACCCTCCTCCTTATAAACATTTTAAAGCATGAAACCACTTTGTAAATCCCACGTCTATCCAACATCATAAAAAAGTAATTTTGCCTATTAAAAGTTTTAAAGTTGCCACATACCTACACTTTCCCAAGGGGAATCTTCTTACAAAGGGAGACAGACAACTGTAAAGACCAATTGAGGCAGCCAGGCAGAATATTCCTATGATAACATAGACTGAGAAAGAAAAAGTAGTAAGTTCAAGTAGGATAAAGTAAGAGATGCTTGTTTTCATATCCCAGCTGAACAAAGAACAGACAATCAAAAAGCATGAATGAAAAATAAGGCCTACATTTCACCAGTGAAAGTTAAATTCAGAGACTTCAAATGATTGTTGATTAGATTTATGCTCTTTAAGTATCTAATTCTAGCTCATTTTACTCAGGTGTACTTTATGCAATAGCTTCTTCAACACATCAAAACCTCTGTGCTAATATTCTTACAGTAAGTCATTAAATCACAACCCTAAAAGGTAATTTATGGTGAAGTGTTTATCTTCTCATTATGAATATACATGAGCATTATAAGGGAACTCTTTTTAAAATCACTCAGTAGCAAAATGAATTAATACAGATGGGATGCACCTTTCATAACTTCCTCAGAAATATGAGGATGGAAGTTCCAGTGCATTAGGCTCTCATGTTCTTTTGTCAATCAATTTGATAAGTGATCAGTAGAAATTTACCATCTTTATAAAGATTAAAAAAAATTGATCCTGGATCAGTAACTCAACTTCAGTTTGAACAGCAATAGAAAGACAAGTATACGTTTGAAAACACCTTTGACAAAAATAAAAGGTGGAAGACATTAAGTCTGTATCTACTTAATAGGCTTTAATGTTTGAAAGAAGCTCTATGATCACCCAATCCAACCTCACTAAAAGGAGGTATAGAAATCTACTCAGTGGGTTTTCTTACAGGGTTTTAAATCATATTGGGATGAAGAAACATGGCAGAAGACAGCCATTTCATGATTATTTTCACAGTAAAAATGCTCTTTAAATGATGGCAGCCTTGTGATACTGAAGATGTATCAATACAAATACAACTTTAAGAGTACCTAAGTGGTCATAGAAGAAATAAAGGAGGACCAGCATTGAGCAGCACATCACTACAAATACACAGATCATTATTGGAGTCACATCAACCGTTTCATCATCATGTTTCTCTGCCCCATCATCACGTTTGTGCTTCATGTACCGCCTGAAAGAGTAACATGGCTATAATCAGTCCATTCCTTCTGCAACAAAATATAAAAGGGCACTGAATCTTCAGCAAGAACTACACGGGGTTGCAAAACATGACACGACACCAATGCCTGCACTGATTTCCATTCAAGTCAGTGGAACTTCACATTTTACATGTATGTATGAACATCAGATATAACACAACGCATAAAACGGTAATTGCTGCATTAGTTTATCAAGAGTACTATTTTTCATTCACTAAGAACTCAACAGAATCCTGAAAATTACTGCAGAATAATTTGCTGACTTTAGACGAAATCCTGAAGTCAGGTTGTGTAAATAAAATAACTGTTAGAAATAAGCGTGACACAGATGACCTCCTCTGCCCAACTCCATTTACTGGCAAAAAGTAACTGTAAAATTTCAATAAAAGATTCATAATAAACATATGTTAGCCATCTAATCAGATTATTTTGCACAATACTAGTAAGAACAATTTTTTTCCCCAGAAAATTTTTACAGTGAATTTTTGCACAAGCCCAAATAGGAAGCCTACTACTATCCAATTTTCCTTCTGAGTTTTTCAAATGTTTGGCTTTTTGACAAGGCAAAATACTAAAACACTCTACAAGCAAATTGTACTCTAATAATTTCATACAGTGACAGAGCCAAAACAAGCCTTGGGGCCTTTCAAATGTCACATCAGCATTTTCCCCACTCTGGTTATATAGACAGTCTCCAAACCTCATTAGCAGAACTACCAGGTGATCTTTGGACAAATACCGTGTATCTTTTTTTCTGTGAAAAATACAAGAAAACCGACATACTACTTTCCAGTTACTCACTTTTTCACATCTCTGCTTCCTGCCCAGTAGCCTCCAATTGCAACAGTCCCCACAGCCATGACAAATATAATCACCATGTTATAGTCTAGCACGGGCTCATTTGGCGCATACATCGCCCCTTTCACTGAGCTGCCGAAACTCTGTGGAGGTAAGTACAAGTTATGAAGAACTTCCAAAACACTACCTTAGCAAAGGTTCAGTTATTTAGTTTTCACTAAACAACCTCAGAATCAAGCTTTATTAGAGATACTTAAGAGCAATCTGTTGGCTCTACTATTAGTGATATTTATTTCCAGCACCAGGCTCCATTTTGATTGTATTCTGAAGATGAGAAATAACCTCCCAAGAGATTTGCATTTTTTTAAAAAGAAACATAATAATGCGATCTTCATGAGTACAACTCTCTACAGATTCAAAGCTCTTAAGATGCACTTCAAATACTGTTGAGCAGCAGCTCATTTAATAATATAATATACATTTAATATAAATTATAGCATTTAGTATCGAGTTTACCTTGCCAATATCTAACATATCAGTATAGCTGAGCAGAGCCACAGGAATATCAATCTCCTCATATTGACTTCTGTTACCCCCAGGAGGAACCTGAAAGACAGTTCAGACCAGGTAAAAATATATTCATTTCTGAAAATGTTTCTACTACTTCAAAAGGGTTAAAGTTGCAAATTCTGCTTCTGGCAATTTGGAAATTTTCTAGAAAGGAAGATAACGACAGCAAAAACTCAAAGTCAAAATGTATGCCTGTTTCCAGTAAAACATAAGTCATTAAAGACTACAACAGCAAAATGCAGCAACCAAGCTGCGAGCAGTACCTTTTGCACATCAGGGTCATAGTTTTACGACTGATGTGTGCCTCTAGCATTGACTACAGTATTCAATACTACTAATTTTACAAGACATATACTGGTGATGCTCTCAGTACTCTAGATTTCATTGATGGTAGTAGTACGAGTTAAAAAACCAACGTCCTTCTTTGATTCCAGTATTTCATACAACATAAGGATAATTCTGAGCTCTTGACTTGAACGTTACATGGGCTCTATGCACACTCTTCCTACTTAAATGAGCACCTCTTCTTGTTTCATTAATCCTTCCTTCAGATGTATCATTTCCATACATAGCTATGCAATGTACATACACACATAAACACACACACACATATATTATTTATTTTAAAAAGGAGTATCAAATCCCAGCAGTGAGCACTGAAGACAATATCTAACATCAGACGATTATCAGCAATACAGAAAGAGAGAAAAGGACTTACCAGTCTCTCTCTACTAACAATCAGCAGCCCACGAGCTCCATTTATCTGAGCAAGCCTCACTTTCTCATAGAAGGTGCAATTCCCTCGCATCACCATGGGGATTTGATTATTAAATCCCCCATCAGGTACATCAGAAGGAGAACACAAAACAGATGCTGTCTGGTCCTGCAGTTGCAAGAGTGACTGAAAAGAAAGAAATTAGTTAAATACATATATATAAAATAAAATTACAGAAGAAGTCAAGAGCAGAAACCACAGAGTTTTTCTAAAGGATAATTTAGAATTTTCAAGTAATGGAGTAATAGAGGATTCTCAGAGAAACTTGAAAATTGAAACAGTGCTGCCTTCTCTATTATGTAGGGTCCTGCCTTGTTTCACCTTATTGTACAGAATTCTGCTGGTAATAAAATTTGGGTTACGATCTGCACTTGCATTTGTTTTCTTCAGCACTGTTGCTCTTCTGATGCACGCATCCAGGATGTAGGAGTACAGCAAAGTGTTATACTTGCTAGGGTGGCACAGAGGGGCAGGCTGAGATGATGTAGGGTATGAACAGCTAGAAACGTACACACAGGCTGAAGCAAAGTATAAAAGCATAGGCAACAAAAATAAACTTCCATTTTGAAACCAACCACATGCAGTTAGCTGAGATTTTGGATCCTAAGCACCTCGATACAGGATTCTAAGCTGTTTCTCTAACTACTTGCAATTCAGAGATGTTGCAGGGCTGCCCCAATTCCTCAGTTTTGGCCCTCCTCAGACCCAAAGACATCTACTCTGGTATGTTTACAGAGGAACAGCCCAAAGACACTTCAAGGTTTTAGAAATAACAACGGTACAAATTGGTCCTTGCAACAAAACCTAAACAGAACTGGGCAAAGATGCTAATTGTTATTTGCAAGTTACCTGAAAAATGCAGTTGTCTACCAAATAACTGATTCTTGGTGCGAGCCACGCTAACAGAAGCAAGTCACAGCCTCACTCTTGCTAGGAGTTGAATTGTTAGGTTTGAGAAGTGTCAGGGTAAAGTTTTAACCTGAAAAGCTGCCACATGTAACACTTTGTAATTAGAAATCCATAGGTATGTGATACAATATCAAATACCTGTATAACTGACTCTACTGTTTTAGGAGGGAAAGGTAAGGGTCAAGCTGTCAGTAGTCCCAAGCTCGTTCAGAAAACAGCTGTCTCCAACTTGGCTCCTACTTTAGAGACAGTAAAATGTCCCTACACACAGTTCCTGGTTATCCAGGTTTCAGGAAAGCTTATCAGTTCTATGATAAGAAAAAAATGCAGAGTGAGCTCAGGTTGGTGCATTGCATCACCTCAGTTAAAAAATTGTACTGCTGGAATACTGAAGGGGAAGGAGGGAGAATGTCAAAAAAGGCAAAGGGAAAGCTGAGGAAGGAAACAGGGATAGGCAAGGGATATAGCATAGGCAACCTAAGTGCTCTGTGGAAGGCAGATCAGAACCCCTCGAGTACTTCAGTTTCTGTTCAGTGCAAGCTATTCTGGACTATATTAGCTTCTGCAGAGCTACTGAAATATATCTCCAGTCAATTTTTATGAGACTGGTTGAAACAAGATATCTACAGTACGGCCCCCAGCTCTCACAAATCCTAGAGTCTAGAATGACAGAGACTCCATGGGAAGCCTGCCGGGATCCAGTTGAACGAGACCCTAAGCCTCTCAAACCAGCTCCATGCATTTCTGCGTTCCCACTTCTGCTGTTGAAGCAAAGGGTACACAGTACACATGTACCGTCTACATGTGCTGACTTCATGTTACAGAGTCAAGTGCAAGAGTTTTAGCTGAGTCTACACAAGGCAAAGGCAGCTGTGGCATCTGAGCTATCTATGTATCCAGGGAGTAATTAAGACTTGATTATACATTGATAAGGAACATTAGCACTCAATCGGTAGATTAAGGAATACAATGATTAAAATGAACAGAGTACCAGTAAACTACCCCTTATCTTCCCCAATTAGTAGCTCATTCAAAGTGGATTTGCTGATTTCATCATTCAGTGACTGTAAGTTTTTCTCACAGAATAGAAAGAAGAATTGACTCAGTTGTCAGCTCATATGGCTTTGGATAATGCAGCAAAAGCTTGACACAGTTTGTGACTACTTATTCTTACAACTGGCAGACCTATGAACCACTGAGAAAGCACTAAAGGTCACAGTTCAGTAGATTAGCAAGGCCACATGGTATTTTTTTATTATACTGACATACAAAAACTCCTTTCCAACCACTGGAAAGTGCCATTTTCAATTAATTGATCATGTTGTGCAAAAGATGTTTGTTTTTGAGCCAGAAATAGTCATTACCTCTGCATGCTGCTTGGAAAAGAATATTGCCATCATAGCACTGCCTAGGGTGATCTTAGATTAAAAGATTAACAAAGTAGTAACTTTGTTTTAGCAAACAAAGTAGTTACTTCAAATTCTGCTAATCCAAGTTAGAAATTAGAAGTTTCCCTGTAACAAAGGCACTTTTTAATACATTATTCTGTCATTGCTTGGCTAGGTACTTACAGCTTTACCAAGATCATGTGGCAAATGGGCCCACTGAGAGTTGAAGAGGATACAGTAGTCTTTTCCTTTGCTGCTCCCCTTCTCTGAAAGGACGTGTACCATCCCATACTCACAGTACACCTGAAAACATAACAAGAATTTCACTACAAGACTTTTAGGTCACGTGAAATAGCAGAAGTGATGGGCATAATTTGCTGTTGACTAGTCTGCTTTGTATTTTAAAGAAAATCTTTAACAAAAGATTCCATAAAGTTTCAGTATCTGTGCAGGGAGTACAGTGGAATTTGTTATTATTTCCATCATATTTCAAACAAAGACTTCAGATACCTTAGATTCCCTCCTATACAGGAACTGGTCAAAGAATCAATTGAAATCTCACTGAATGTTACTGGATGTTAAAAAGAAACCAAAACACAAACCAACAAAACCACCCCAAACACCACAGCTGGAATGGTGCATATATGTATATAACCAAAGCAATAGAAAAAAGCTAGACTACTGCAGAACAGATAAAGAGAGCTAGAATAAGAGGCTTGGCCCCTACTAACTCCTGAAAGTACAGTCTGAAGTAATGATCACTTCCAGATTCACATCGCTCAAAAACTCAGGCTTGGACACCTTTGCTGTAGGTCTGACAAAGACCCCACAGCATCATTGGCTCTCTTTTTATGTCCTAGGTAGCACACGTAGATTCTCAAAACTACGCACTGCATATACTTTTCACTGCTTCAGTGACCAGCAGCCGCTGCTGTCAAATCTCCAACAATATTTGCTACAAGTAGTGAAGATTACATATCTAAGAGTTATAATTACATGCCTGTACTGGGTCTGGGTGGGATGGAGTTAATTTTCTTCACAGCAGCTGGTGTGGTGCTGTGTTTTAGATTTGTGGCCAAAACAATGCTGATCAACTAATGTCTTCGCTATTGCTGAATAGTGTTTGCACAGTGTCAAAGCCTTCTCTGTTGCTCACTCTGTCCCCTCCAGTGACTAGATGGGGGGGTGCACAAGAGGTTGGGAGGGGGCACGACCAGGCAGATGACTAAACAAAGAGATATTCCATGCCATGTAGTGTTGTGCTTCAGCAACGAAAAGTGAAAAGAGGCATTTTTTTTAAGGAGGTTAGCCGTCTTTTGCTCAGGAACTGGCTAGGCACTGTCTGCCTGTGGGAGGTGGTGAGTGATTTGTCTTTGCATCACTTGTTTTGCTTTCTTTCTTTCTACGTCTCCTTTGCTTATTAAACAATTTTTATCCCAACCCACAAGTTTTAAGGCTTTTAGTCTTCTTCCTCTTCCCTGTCACACTGAGGGGTGGGAAGAACGTGACAGCTTCACTCCAGTTGTTTATAGGTAAGATCCCTCAACTTGAATAATTAGGTCACCTTTAACTTGATGTTCAGCCTCTGGAACAGAGATGAGTTGCAGTAGAAGGACCATCTGAACTCTACACCGAATTACAGCCCAGGCTGCAGTCCTGAGCTGAAGAACCAGGAACACTACACCCAAAGCTGTGTGCACACATCATACACAGTTAGTCACAGACCGGGCTTCAAACATAACAACCTGGCCTACCATACTTCACTCAAAGCTCCCTTAAAACGATTACTAATTCCTCAGAGCTTCAAAAGGTACACAAAAAAACCCCAAACCCAAAAAACTGAAAAAGACTCCACATGAAGCCTGAGTCTTCACCTAATCAAGGTATACTTATGGTATGTTATTTCAAGTTGATATGCAGCCTGGCTTCAGGTTGGAGCTACATCAGCCTTTACTGCAGCTGTCTCTGCACTGGGAGCAGCCCATGGTAGCAAGAATAATCCTAGTTGGCTTAATCATGGAAACTTCACAATTCTCCTGAAGAACTCCAGGAAACTGAAGTAGCAGAACCCAGATCCTGTAGGAATTTGGAGAAAGAGAAGAAGGACTGCAGAGAAAAGTAAACATAGTAACATGCAGCAAAGTATACCAGTTTAAGGCAGCTTCTCAGTTGTGATACGGTGTATGTAGTCTGTTTATTCAGCTAAGTGTTCTAACCACAAGTGCTCCTTTTAACACAAATATTTTCAGCTTCCCATCCCTGCACAATAACACATAGCAAACATAATAATTTCCTCATTATTTTGGTTATATCAGATTGTATCAGGCCATTTCCCAGCAAAATCAAAAGACCTAGGGGCTAGCATGGGCTGACTGGTCATCACGAGCAGGCACTAGCAAACACTTCCTTATTACAGTGTTAATTCACCAATCGTCTTATTCTTCAGGATGAGCTCTGTTCTTTTAAATATGTCCTCCCCTCCTTCCCTTCCCTGTGTTTAGCAAAAAACTCCAGCTATTTGCCACAGTGGGCTTTTTAACTCATATCTTAGCTATCCAACCATAGCACCTAAACCCATTTCAACAAAAGGAAGAAGTATTGAAAAATAATCCATTATTATTATCTTGAATTTTACTTTCAAGAGTAACAAGCCACAGAGATCCAAAGACAGACACAGACAAAAGACCAGAACAAAAGTGCTTCCTGCTTATTGTTACAGGATCTGACTAGGCTTAAAAAAAAAATGAAGTAGCACAGTTTTGAATATTGCATGTACAACTGCCTCCAAAATCTTCAGTTTTGCAGGAGCTAACTACCTGTAAGTTGAACAGCTTTATGCATTTGAGAAACAATCAACCTGTACAGTTAAAAGTTTTACATTTTTAAGATACGCATCTTTAAAATCAAGCAAATAAGTATACGGTGTGTTGCTACATTTCTATTTAGATAACCATTACTGGAACTCAATAATAATCCCCAAATGGCACACTGAAGACAGTAATACACAATTATGCTTTTTGAGCAACTTAGTGGATGCCCTTTAATGAACTATTAAGGGAGTAAAAGGTTCCTAATGTGAAGTCTCAAAACATTTTAGAAGCTATGTTTTTGTGTGCCAAAAGCCAAGTAAAAATCAAGGATGAGAGGCATTAAAAGGAATATGAGCAGGGCTAAAAGCAGAAGAGGATGTGCAGAGTTTTAGAAAGCCCATGAAGAATGGAGTCCACAGAGAATGTGGATTAACAGACATTTTACAAAGCATCAAAGCATAGTTTTGAAGTCTGTTAAGAGCTGCTACAAGTTTGTTCTTATCCTCCCACCTAAGCGGAGCCACAGACATCAGAGTTTCTTGTTTCAGTACCAGAGGGCTTTGATGCTTCCTGTTTTGTTTTTATTTATGTCACTAGGTATCAGACAACAAAAGTAAGTTCAAAGCAGTGCAGCTGATGCACTGGGATGGTGGCAACATTTATGATGTTTCTTAGTTCCTAGAGATCAGTCCGTATCCTAGACTAACCCATGAGGAAATGAAATCTCCTGTGCAGATCCTACACAACGTTCCTACAACCCCCAAGGGCTCTTTTCCAAGCGTTTGGATATCAAGCCCAACCTTTTTCAAACACTGACGGAAAAACAACAGCTGTTGTGACAACAAGGTGTTTTATGATACTTGCTTCTTACAGTACACATGATTTAGAAAGCACTACAACAAGCTTCAAAGGGAATGGCCTTCCTGGCCTCACACAGCAGAAGTAACTTCTCCCACTTAAGTACGGAACTATCTAGTTTCCCTAGATGAGTAAGGAGAGAGTATTTCTATTTAAATATTGTTTCCAGTCAGGCATCCATATTCAACAATGGTACAAGCAAGACCTCTGCAAAGCAGGAAACCTGCTAGAATCATAGCTTTATGAAGATTGTTGTATAATTAACACAAAGCGAAGCGGTTTATATAAAAGCTGCAAAACGACGAAAACGTTTGCACACGACAGAAGCGCAGAGTCTGACGGCACAACTTAACAGGCAACTGAACCAATCGAGTAGTCTGTGGCATTAGAAGAGCACGCTTGTTTGCTCTGAACCTCATCAGACCCTTCCATGGTTTACTTAATGCATTTAAAGGGCAGAACACACCCAGCTTTTTGCTGAGTGAGGTTTTTTTGTCATGTTGTGAATTAATGTAGCTCAGAGACAAGCACTGGGGCTTGCAAGTTAAATAATGGAAGAAGGTGGAGAGGAAGAATTAAGCTCACCCACATTTCAAGAAACTGGAACGTGAGTGACTGAGCCAACCCGGTGGCTCATTCTTGTTCGTTCCTCCCTGCCTCTGTCCCCAAACTCACCCGGACACCCCATACACTTTTTCCACTTTCATTAGCTCTATCAGCTGATTTGGTCACCTGAACCTCAGAGATTTAACAGACACTAGGAGCTGTGTTCCTTGAAGAAGGAATGAAGAAGCTATGCCTACTCTTACAGTATGTATCATGCAAGACACAGAGTTCCCAAGAGCTGGGATGCATTCTTTCCTATGAACTGCATCAATCAGTTTGGAGACCATCAATAGCACGCAAAGAAAACTCTCCTTCAACAAGCACCATACAGTGGAGAGTTTCATATTCACAATGCAGCAATTCCATGAGACGAAATCGTCAATCACCACCCTAATCCAGAATTTCAGACAGTCTTTTCAACTCTTCAGACCTACCTCATAGGGCACTCTGATTTTAAATATAGAAACCATCATCTCAAGTCAATATTCTGCTGAAAGCCACTATAGCGAAAACCAGCTAGGTCCAACATGCTCACTGCAGATCATGTTTCTATACTCTTCGTTAGTCAAAGGACTAAAAGTCATGTATATCTGCGATCGTTACAGGACAACCGAGAGGTAAGCAATGCCATGGAGTGGTCAGAATGAGAGGGAAGGGAAATGAAAAGTCAAGACTCAGATACCAAGGCAAGATCTAAGTGCAGATTGTACTTGGATCTGTAAGATCACACCCCTCTTTAGGTGTTCCCAAATGAGGACCCAGATTTGCAAGAGCCATGCTTCACTAGCCAAGCTGTTTGCAGATACTACCTCTCCCTGCCTCAGGGAAAGGACAACCAAGAGGTAAGCAATGCCATGGAGGAGTGGTCAGAATGAGAGGGAAGGGAAATGAAAAGTCAAGACTCAGATACCAAGGCAAGATCTAAGTGCAGATTGTACTTGGATCTGTAAGATCACACCCCTCTTTAGGTGTTTCCAAATGAGGACCCAGATTTGCAAGAGCCATGCTTCACTAGCCAAGCTGTTT